GGATAGAGGCACAGAGAAGGTGCAGACATGGAGAGGGTACAGACAGAGAGGGTACAGACACAGAGATGGTACAGATACAGAGATGGTAAAGACAGAGAGACAATACAGACAGAGAGAGGGTACAGACAGAAAGAGGACAGGCACGGAGACGGTACAGACAGAGAGGGTACAGACAGAGAGGGTGCAGACACAGAGAGGGCGCAGACACAGAGAGGGCGCAGACACAGAGAGGGCGCAGACACAGAGGGGTGCAGATATGGGGAGTACAGACAGAAAGGGGATGGCACAGAGAGGGTGCAGACAGACAGTGTACAGTCAGAGAGAGGGTACAGACATAGAGAGGGTACAGACATTGGAGAGTGTACAGACATTGGAGAGCGTATAGACACAGAGACGGTGCAGACACAGAGAGGGTACAGGCACGAAGAAGAAACAGACATGGAGAGGGTACAGACACAGAGATAGTATAGACAGAGATAGTACAGGCACGGTGAGGGTACAGACACAGATCAGGTGCAGACAGAGAGCGTACAGAGAGGGTATGGACAGAGAGGATACAGACAGAAAGGGCGCTGGCACACAGAGGGTACAGGCACACAGAGGGTACAGACAGAGAGAGGGAAAGAGGATACAGACAGAAAGGGTGCAGACACAGGGACGGTGCAGACACGGAGAGGGTAGAGACACAGAGATGGAACAGATACAGAGAGTTGACAGACACAGAGAGGGGACCAGCATAAAGAAACAGTACAGGCACAGAGAAGGTGCAGATATGGAGACGGTACAGAGAGGGTGCAGATATGGAGACGGTACAGAGAGGGTGCAGACAGAGGCTGTACAGATACGGAGAGGGTGCAGACACAGAGAGGGTACAGAGTGAGAGAGTACAAATAGAGGGGCCAGGCACAGAGAGGGGAGAGTCACAGAGAGGGTACAGGCACAGAAAGGGTACAGACTGAGAGGGTACAGACACAGTGACGGTGCAGAGAGAGAGGGAACAGACAGAGGGTACAGGCATAGAGATGGTGCAGACATGGAAAGGGCACAGACAGGGAGAGGAAACACAGAGAGGGAGCAGACATGGAAAGGGGGCAGACACGGAGAGATGGCAGACAAAGAGGGGACAGACAAAGAGGGGACCAGCACAAAGAGGGGACAGACAAAGAGGGGACAGACACGGAGAGGGGACAGACATGGAGAGGGTGCAGACAAAGAGGGGACCAGCACAGAGAGGGTACAGACATGGAGAAGGTACAGACAGACAGGGTACAGGCACAGAGAGGGTACAGGCACAGAGAGGGTACAGACAGACAGGGTACAGGCATGAATCTAACCATAATCCATGTTGCAAAGTCATTTCTGAAAGGAGAGTGGTTCTACCATTTATGAAAATGTTGCTTTGTGTACCTGGCAGGCTAATGCATACCGTAGTGTATACCATAAATTATCTGCACTCTCCCCCTCCCAATCCTCTCATTTTCAATTTATTTGGGACCTATCAGTGCTTCTCTTCAGCAACCAGTTCCACTGGATCATCAGGAACATTCATAACATGTGTATACAAAGGAAATGAACAATCTTAGGGTCGAAATAAAAACTGAAAGAACTGCGGATGCTGTAAATCAGGAACAGAAACAAAGTTGCTGGAAAAGCTCAGCGGGTCTGGCAGCATCTGTGAAGGAAAAAACAGAGTTAACGTTTCTGGTCCGGTGACCCTTCCTGTTCTGAGGAAGGGTCAGCGGACCCGAAACGTTACCTCTGTTTTCTCCTTCACAGATGCTGCCAGACCTGCTGAGCTTTTCCAGCAACTTCTGTTTTTGTATCTTAGGGTCTAGTTTTCCGAGCCTTCCTTGTGGAATGCCACATCTGCAGTCACTGGGAGAATCTGGATTCAATCAGTTCCTTACTTATGGACAGTGATCCTGAATCAGTGATTTCACCAGCACACTTGCAGTAGAAAACCAGCCGTTACTAAATTTTGAAAAACTCTGAGCAGTGGGCCCACAGACACCATCAGCCGCTCTCACAGCTGATCCATCTGCTTACCTTACAGGGTAGAGAATTCCAACTGGTCACTTGAGGGAGAACTCTAACCCATTGTAGTAGCCAGCGCTCCCACCCAGCGCTCCTGCCCAGTGCTCACAGACAGTGCTCCCACCCAGCGCTCCTGCCCAGC